TGACATGTTTCATGAGCATGACTGTTAATAATATTAAAAATATCCAAATCTGGGGCATACTCTCACAATATAGGGGCTGTAATTAGGACCTATTCCCCATCCTTATTTTCTCAGTCCCATCACATTCCTGACCCTGTTTGTGGAAACATGTGAGAAGGCCTTCTCCATGGCTGCTCCTAGACTCTGATACTCTCTTCCCAGGAAGGCTAGGCTGGTTTTCTCTTTCTTGTCTTTTTGGCATCAAGTAAAGGCCTTTTTATTCCAGCAGGCATTTGTGAACTGCTTTATATAATGGGTTTTCTGTTTTAATGCTGTACTGTTTTTAATCTGTGGTTTTAAATTAATGTTTTAGATGTTTTTTAATTTAATAGACATTTGCTGGTATCTTTCTTTTGCTATGGACATAACCAAAGAAGCCCTTTTTATTGTGCTTAACCACTCTAGCGAGCCTGAGCTCATTCTGTGCTTTGGCTTTCCTGACTTTACCCCTACATGTGCTAGCTATTTGTTTGAATTCCTCTTTAGTGTTTTTGCCCCTTTTCCATTTCTTAAACATGTCCTATTTAAAACTTAAGTCAATTGAAAGTTCTTTTGTCATCCAACCCAGTTTTTTGAGACATCTCCCATTTTTCCTTCTCATTCGAATACTTTGAGATTGTGCCTTCAGTATCTCCCTTTTGAGAAACTCCCATCCATCCTGAACTCCCTTCTCCTTTAGTATTCCTGACCACAGGATCACTCCCAGTGTTTCCCTAAGTTTGTTGAAATCAGCTCTCCTAAAGTCTAGAATGAGTGTTTGAATATGCCTAGCTTCTCCTTTCCACTGTATAAAAAACTCCAGGATATCATGATCTCTCCCAGCTTAGGTTGCCACCACTTGCACCCCACTGACCAGGCCATCCCTGTTGGTTAGGATCAGATCTAAAATAGCTGATCCCCTTGTTGCTTCTTCCATCTTTTGGATGAAGAAATTGTCTTCGAGGCAAGTGAGGAATTTGCTAGACCTTGAAGTATTGGCTGAGTTTGACTTCCAACAAATATCAGGATAGTTGAAGTCACCCATCACTACTACATCTTTCCTTTCTGAGTGTGTTGTCATCTGTTCTAGAAAGTCATAATCCAATTCCTCAGTCTGACTTGGGGGTCTGTGGTAGACTCCTACTATAACATCCCTGTTGTTTCCTTTCCCTTTAATTTTTATCCAGATGCTCTCTACCTGATTTGCAGGATTTAAGTCCTGGATCTCTTCACAGGTGTAAACATCCCTGTTATATAATGCTATTCCTCCTCCTTTCCTGTCTGGCCTATTTCTCTTTAAAAGGTTATACCCCTCTATTCCTACATTCCAATCATGAGACTCATCCCACCAGGTTTCAATGATGACTATTATATCATATTTGCTTTGTTGTGCTAGGAGTTCAAGTTCATCTTGTTTATTTCCCATGCTCTGTGCATTAGTGTAGAGACATCTAAGAGCATTTGTCCTTTCCACCTGCTTCCTGTGTGAGGTTTTTTCCTTCCACTGTTGTTCCCTTGCATCATTTGCCTTGTTCCCTCTATAACACTTTTACTGTTATCTCCAGCCCATGATGTACTCCTGCCTTCCAAGATATCTTCCAAGATACTGTCTCCCTCCCCAACATGACTCAGTTTAAAACCCTCCTGATCAAATGTTTGAAACTATTGGCAAAAATGCTTCTGCCAACTGATGTGAGATGCAGCACATCTCTTGCTAGAAGTCCACCCTATGGAACCGCAGCCCATGATCCAAGAATCCAAATCGTTCTTGGTGGCACCATCTACAGAGACAGTTATTCACATCTCCTATCTTCCTCTCCCTTCCTGGACATGCCCTTCAACTGGGAGA